TATTTTTTGTAGAGATGGGGTTTCACTCTGCTGCCCAGGCTGGTCTGAAATTTCTGGATTCAAGGAATCTGCCCACCTTGGCCTCCCGGAGTGCTGATATGACAGGTATGAGCCACTGCGCCTGGCCTTTTTTTTTTTTTTTTTTTTTTTTTGGAGACAGGTCTTGCTCTGTGTCCAAGTTGGAGTACATTGGTGCAATCATAGTGCACGGTAGCCTCAACTTCCCGGACTCAAGCAATCCTTCCACCTCAGCCTCCCAAGAGCTGGGACTACAAGTGCATGCCACCAGGACCAGCTAATTTATTTTTATATTTTGTAGAGACAGGGTCTCCCTATGTTGCCCAGGTTGGTCTCAAACTCAAAGGCTCAAGCTATCTACCCGCCTTGGCATCCCAAAATGCTGGGATTACATGCATGAGCCACCGCGCCTGGCCACTCTGGGTCTTTAATTAGGGAGTCCTGCCTGAGTAACTTGCTAGAAAGGATTTTGCTTTTGCCAAGGACTGGAAGATCCAACAGCATCAGAACTGGGCAGAAATACAAGGGCAAATTAACAGAGAAGAAAACTGATAAGAAACCTGGATAACGATAATAAGAAGCTGTGCAATTCCCCTGCAATTGGTTTATCTGTACATAGTTCGTGCCCAAACTTCGCAGCCTAAGCACAGAAACTTGGGCCTCTGGCAGAAGCTGTGTGAACAAAGATGTGGATGGTTCTTTGTGGAGGAGGGGCACAGCCAGAGTGCGGGGTGAGGCTGCAACTTCAAGGCTATGGGAGAAATCAGAAGGCCTTCTTTGCCTTCTCCCCTGGGATCAACATCCATGCCCTGGAACCTTCACTGTGCAGGCACCTGTATTAGGTATTATTTCTGCATAACAAATTGCCACAGATTTAGCAGTCATTTATTTGTTCACGGTTCTGTAGGTTAGACATCTGGGGCAGGCTTCACTGGGTCTCTGCTTAGGATGTCAGGAAGCCAAAATCAAGGTGTTGGTCAGCCTGGGCTCTCATCCAGAGGCTCTAGGGAGGAATCGACTTCCAGGTTCACTTAAGTTGTTGACAGAACCCACTTCCTTGTGGTTGCAGGACTGAGGTTCCTGTTTTCTTGCTGGCTGTTGGCTGGGGGTATCTCTGAGATCCTAGGGACTTTCACAAGTCCTTTCCATGTAATGCTTCCTGCATCTTTAAAGCCAGGAAATGTGCGTCCAATTCTTCTTGTGCTTAGAATCTCTCTGACTTCCCTTCTGCTATTGGAGAAACTCTCTTTTAATAAGCTCGTGGGATTAGATCCAGCCCACTCAGATAACTGACCTACTTGGAGATCAACTGATTGGTAATGTTAATTACACTGCAGATCCCTTCTGCCATATAATATCATATCATCAACGGAGTAACACACCCAGGGACAGAGATCATGAAGCCGTCTAAGAATTCTGATTCCCATAGTGCCTGAAGCTGTGGGTCTGGGACCCAGAATGGCCTACATTGAAGCTAAAAAGACTTTTGCTTTCTGGCCAAAGAGTTGCCCCACTTGGTTGCACCCAACTGTGGTGGGGTGATCGCTGGGCGTGGTCCCAGCTCTTCCCATACACACAGGAGATCTAGAGACAGAGAGGAAATGGCCCCTCCCCCTGCAGGCTCCTTTCTCTTGTCAAAAGACAAAATTACAAAAATTTAAAGATCTTAATTGGCTTTTACTTGGATTCTAGAATTGGGCAACACCTCACCTTATATGATAGAATGAGTGTTCGGATTGAGCTGAGCAGTAGAGGTTGGCTTTGAAAGCAGAAACAGAACAAACATCAGATTTCAAAGTTATTTTCCTTGTAAGATTAAAGCAGAGGGGACTTCCTTACCATGCTAGCTAAAACTGGCCTGTTTGGGGATCTGGTTATTATCCCTCGCTCTCCTGATCACTTGGAATGTCAGATAAACAACATAGTGTCAACTGGGCGACGCGGAACTTCAGCATGAGTGACTCTATTTTGGTTTGGTCTGCTGGGCCTCGTGCAGGAGCTCAGCCCAAGCCAATGGCTTCCTGTACATTTCATTGAACACCCTCAGAGCCTCATGGAGACCGCACATCCTGACGAGAGGCTCAAGACTGTGCGGAGCACTCTGAACCCAAAAGAAATACAGCCTGGTGGCCAGTGCGGCGGCTCATGCCTGGAATCCCAGCACTTTGGGAGCCCAGGAGTTCGAGGCCAGCCTGGGCAACATAGTGAGACCCACAGTTGCTACCAAAATTTAAAAACTAGCCAGGTGTGGTGGCGTGTGCCTGGAGTCCCAGCTATTCAGGAGGCTGAGGTGGGAGGTTGAGGCTACAGTGAGCTGTGGTCGTGTCACTGCACTCCATCCAGCCTGGGTGACAAAGTGAGACCCTAGCTCAAAAAATAAAAATAAAAATAAAAACAAGAAAGAAAGGAAGAGAGAGAAAGAAAGAAAGAAAGAGAAAGAAAGAAAGAAAGAGAAAGAAAGAAAGAGAAAGAAAGAAAGAAAGAAAGAAAGAAAGAAAGAAAGAAAGAAAAAGGAAGGAAGGAAGGAAGGGAAGGAAAGAAGAAAAGAAGGAGGGAAGAGAGAGAGAAGGAAGGAAGGAGAGAAAGAAAAGAAAGAAAGAGAAAAATAGAAAGAAAGAGAGAAAGAAAGGGAGATGGAAAGAAGGAGAAAAAAAGAAAGAAAGGAAGAGAGAAAGAAAGGAGAATGAAAGAAAAGAAAAAAGGGAAGAAAGGAAGGAAGGAAAGAAGGAAGGAAGAGAGACAGAAAGGGAGGAAAGAGGTAAGGAAGGGGGAGGGAGAGAGAAAGAGGAAGGAAGGAAGGAAGGAAGGAAGGAAGGAAGGAAGGAAGGACAGAAGGAAGGAAGGAAGGAAGGAAGGACAGAAGGAAGGAAGGAAGGAAGGAGGACAGCCTGCCTCGTCCCACTACCAGGGATCTCACCCACTAATGGCCCCAACCTGCCTCCCGGATACTCCCCCACCCTCAAACTCTGGTCTCATGCCCTGAAGACAACCTCAGAGTTTTCCAATCTCCCACCTGCTTGCCTCCCCACTCCCTCTACACCCCCTCTTAGGGAAGGGCAGGCCTGGGCACAGTGACTTCAGGACTTGGCTCTTCCTGGGCATTCCCTGGCCCACCTCCTGGCCACCCAGATGGTGTTCAACCCAGAGAGGCAGCTCCTGGCCTGTGCCCTGCAGACAGCCTGATATTGGGCAGGGTAGGGCAGGGGAAAGAGGAGGGGGAGGACCCTGCTCACAGGGCATCCCACAACCATTTCTCAACCCGGCCGCTTGCCTGACTGTGGGCACCCAGATTCCTTGAGAGTCTGCCCTTAACGCACTTCCAGGGCTTTGCTTAATGTGCTTCTAGCTCCCTTCAATGCTATTATTAGCAAGGCCATGTGGAAGCCTCCTCTCCCCTCACCCAGGCCCCTCTCCCCTACAGTTACACAAGAATGTAGGCACCTGCAGGGAAAACCACCAAAAGCGTTTTCTTAGGTGCGGGGCCTCGCGCTGGGGCCCCACTGAGCAGAACAACCCTTTGAGCAGCTACCTTATTCCAGCTCATGAGCTGATGTCTGAGACTCAACCTTGGCCTTCCCCTTCCTTGTCAAGTTTCAGGTCCTGGAAGATTTGAAAAGGGGCCTCCTCTCTGCAGTTAAACAACTTAATTCGAAACTCCCATGCACAGTCATCTGCCTGGTCTTGTGGCCTTTCCTTCCCTCTGGGATAGCAAGAGGCATGGCAGGATTGTCTGCAGAACAAGTGGTGTGGTTGGTCAGAGAGCACGGGGAGCCAAGATTCCGCGGGGCCCAGAAACTGCAGTGGCAGCTGGACAGGATTTAGCACAGCAAGGGCGGTGAGACTGGTGTGGCTGGATGTGTCTGCCCTTTCGAAACCAAAAGGAAGGTATCCGATTGACCAGAGGAGATAAGCCTGGAGGAGAGAGGCTGGGAACTGCTGCTGGAACCTCAGAGAGGTAACAGAGGGTTCTGAACCAGGCTCCCTCTCCTCCCAGTAAGGACCATAAGCCACTGTAGATTCTAGGATGAAACCAAGAGTGCCTTTTGCCAAATTTGAGTTGTTACCAACCAAGCAGCTCTGTCAGGGAAGCATTTTGTCTTGCAACTCCTTTGTTTTTGCATTTTTTCATCCTGTCTCCTCTAAACCTCTGGTTTCTAAACCACTAAGGCTCTCCTTTCTCCCAGGGACTCCATCTTCACATCTTCAAACTTCTACTGTTGACAGGGTGCGGTGGCTCACCCCTGTAATCCCAGCACTTTGGGAGGCTGAGGCGGGTGGATCACGAGGTCAGGCGTTTGAAACCAGCCTGGTCAACATAGTGAAACCCCATCTCTACTAAAAATACAAAAAAATTAGCCAGGGGTGGTGGCGGGTGCCTGTAATTCCAGCTACTTGGGAGGCTGAGGCAGTAGAATCGCTTGAACCTGGGAAGAGGAGGTTGCAGTGAGCCGAGATCGCGCCATTGCACTCCAGCCCGGCTGACAATGCGAGATTCCGTTTCAAAAACAAAACAGAAAAACCCTACTGTTTTCCTCTCTCCTTCTGCTCCTGCCCTGCCCATGTTGCATTCCCTTCTCTTTAGCTTTCAGGGCCCAAGCCTTCTGCTAGACCCCTTTCTGGAGAAAAGAAGGATGAGAGGAGGCTGAGGACATGAAGCTGAGACGCCTGCAGGCTGTACGTGGAGACCCTTGTGTTACCATCTCCCACAGCAGTAGCATAGTCGGAAGGGCCACCTACTGAGGTGGGGGCAGTGAGGGGCCACCTCCCCTCCCTGACTCATGCTCCTCCTGTGTAATATTTTGTGGTTGGTGGGATGGTCCCGGGCTCTGGGACTGAAGTGTTTATTGGGTTGTGACCACACCCCTTGTGGATGGCCTGGGGATTTTCAGCCCCAAACTGCCAAGCCCTTGGAAAAATCAACAGCCACACCTGTTTCTCACAGATAGTCTTTTTTTCCTCGTAGGTGTGGCTTTTCCATCTTGAGGTCACAGAGGAACTGAGGCACAGGGACAGGGACCCGGATGCCGCAGGGATCACCCAGCCAGCCCGCTCCTACGGCGGCCACTTTTCAGGAGTGATTTCTTTGGCTTCTTTCCTTCCATAGGCCCAAGAAACCACTCACACTCACCTGACCAGCAGGAACCCAGGGGAGCCGGCCTTAATCCTGGCTTCCCTGGGGCTCAAAAGAATCTGGATCACAATAGGTAGGGTTCGATTACTTGGGCCAGCGCCTCACTTCACAGATGTAGAAACTGGGGCTTAGGGTGGGGCCTAGGGCCATGAGGCCAGTCCAGGACATGGTGGCACAGGCAGCCTGGACACCTGGCTCCCCAGGTCCACAGGACCTCCCAGTCACTGCTGTTTCCTTGGGGTACCGTTTTTCTTTTCTTTTCTTTTTTTTTTTTTTTTTTTTGAGATGGAGTCTCGCTCTGTCGCCCAGGCTGGAGTGCAGTGGCCGGATCTCAGCTCACTGCAAGCTCCGCCTCCCGGGTTTACACCATTCTCCTGCCTCAGCCTCCAGAGTAGCTGGGACTACAGGCGCCCGCCACCACGCCCGGCTAGTTTTTTGTATTTTTTAGTAGAGAGGGGATTTCACCAGGTTAGCCAGGATGGTCTCGATCTCCTGACCTCGTGATCCACCTGTCTTGGCCTCCCAAAGTGCTGGGATTATAGGCGTGAGCCACCGCGCCCGGCCAGGGTACCGTTTTTCTTCCACCACAAATCCCTTTCACTGTGTAGCCCTACGATATGGTCAAGGGAGTAACTCTGGGGACACGGATGGAGTCCATGGGGCCGGCTTAGAATTCTGCCTTCTGTAGTGCCTGAGGCTCCTAACCCTCCCCACCTGGTTGGATCCCCAGGCAGCTCCTGGGAGGAAGTGCCCTCCCCCACCATTGACTGCCCCTCCTCTCAGTGAGACCTGACAGCTGTCTCCAATATATTAATTATAACAATGTAACACCGTGGGGCGCACACTCTCTTGACTCTCACCCTTCCGAACTCCAGGTCCCTCCTGGCCAAGCTGACCCAGACCCTGACCCTGGCCTCTGAACTCCAGCCTGGGTGAGAATGGGACCCCGAAAAGAAAAAAGGAGAAGAAAGAAAAAAGAAAGAGAGAGGGAAGGAAGGAAGGAAGGAAGGAAGGAAGGAAGGAAGGAAGGAAGGAAGGAAGGAAGGAAGGAGGGAGGGAGGGAGGGAGGGAGGGAGGGAGGGAAGGAAGGAAGGAAGGAAGGAAGGAGGAAAGGAGAGGAAGGAGAGGCTAGGGGAGAGGAGGGGGAAAGGAAAGGGAAGCTTCAGGTTTGCCTTGATGGAAGCTGTGGGCCTAGGAAAGTGGAAGCAGCTCACTAGAAGAGGACAGGGCATCCTATGGGATTGGTTAGAGGGGCATATTTGGTTTTACTTTTTTTGTGTGTGTGAGACAGTGTCTCACTCTGTTGCTCAGGCCGGAGTACAGTGGTGCCATCTGGGCTCACTGCAGCCTCGACTTCATGGGCTCAAGCAATTCTCCCACCTCAGCCTCCCAGGTAGCTGGGACTACAGGTGTGTATCATCACGCCTGAATAATTTTTATATTTTTTGTAGAGATGGGGTCTCACTGTGTTGCCCAGGCTGGTCTCAAATTCCTGGGCTCAAGAGATCTACCCACATTAGCCTCCCAAAGTGCTGGGATCATAGGTGTGAGCCCCTGCATCCAGCCCATATTTGACTTTTTCTTGGAAATGGGGACAAATTGGAAGTGGGGATGAGAATTAGGGAAACTGTCAATTACAAATCAAGTCCTGGCCAAGTGGAGTCAATTGGAGTTCAAGGATCACAGCCCACTGCATCCTTGAACTCCCGGCTCAGGTGATCCTCCCACCTCAAGCCTCCCAAGTAGGTAGGACTACAGGTGCATGCCACCACACTTGGCTAATATTTTGTATTTTTTGTAGGGATGGGGTTTTGCCATGTTGCCCAGGCTAGTCTTGAACTCTTAGGCTCAAGTAAGCCCCCTGCCTTGGCCTCCCAAAGTGCTGGGATAACAGGTGGGAGCCCCCATGCCTGGCTGAGTTACACAAAAACAAACAAAAATAACCTACCTTCCTTTTGTTCCCAAACAGACAGCTGTCATTTCACATGTTTACTTTATCTTATGTAAAACACAGATTTATTAAACACACCTCTTTTCATGTGTAAAATGTGGATTCACTGAGTACTAATCAAAGCCTCACAAGAATATAACCACTTCCCTCATTGCCTGCTCGTCCTCCCTTTTCCTTTCTTCCTTCCCCTCCTGCCTGCTCGTCCTCCCTTTTCCTTTCTTCCTTCTCTGCCTGCTACCCTCCTTTTCCTTTCTTCCTTCCCCTCTAGCCTGCTCTTCCCTCTTTACATTTATTTATTTATTTTATTTACTTACTATTTTTTTTTGAGACGGAGTCTTGCTCTTGTCGCCCAGGCTGGAGTGCAGTAGCATGATCTCAGCTCACTGCAACCTCTGCCTCTGGGTTCAAGCGATTCTCCTGCCTCAGCCTTCAGAGTAGCTGGGATTACAGGTACCACCACACCCAGCTAGTTTTTATGTATTTTTAGTAGAGATGGGGTTTCACCATGTTGGCCAGGCTGGTCTCGACTCTGCTCGTCCTCCCTTTTCCTTTCTTCCTTCCCCTCCTGCCTGCTCGCCCTCCTTTTTTCCTTTCTTCCTTCCCCTCTGGCCTGCTCTTCCCTCTTTACATTTATTTATTTATTTTATTTACTTACTATTTTTTTTTGAGACGGAGTCTTGCTCTTGTCGCCCAGGCTGGAGTGCAGTAGCATGATCTCAGCTCACTGCAACCTCTGCCTACTGGGTTCAAGCGATTCTCCTGCCTCAGCCTTCCAGGTAGCTGGGATTACAGGTACCCGCCACCACACCCAGCTAGTTTTTGTATTTTTAGTAGAGATGGGGTTTCACCATGTTGGCCAGGCTGGTCTCCGACTTTAGGTGATCCTCCCGCTTCGGCCTCCCAAAGTGCTGGGATTGTAGGTGTGAGCCATCACGCCCGGTCCCCTCTTTAAATGTTGAAGTCCTCAAAACTCTTTGCAAAAATCACAGGCCACAGATCCTACTGCAACGTGTGTTTCTCTTTCCCTGCTGCGTCCTCGACCTTGGCAAATAATCCTCTAAATCAATTGAGTTCTGTCACAGACACTTTTTGGCTTATGCCACCCAAAAGCTTCCCTACCCCGCCCACCTTTGAGTCCCTCTCAAACACAGGTGGCGGTGGCTGCCCCCTTGTTATACAGCAAGCCCTGAATCACGGCCTTTGCACCTTCTCATTCATGTTCTCTGCTTATTTCTATGTCGGAGTAGAGGAGGGAGGGAGTGTGGAAGAGCTGGTGAGTCCAGAACTCCAGAAATGTGAGGTGGGAAGCCCGTGGGCAGGAGAGCAGCTGGAGCCTCCACATCACCGTGAGAGCTTCCTCCAGGCCACTGACCTGAGCTCTGGCGTGGACGCTGGTTTGGGGCAGCCTCCTCACACACAGCCATGCAAGCCCTGTAAGGACAGGCCCCTGCGCCCCTTGGCATCAGAAATGGGGCAAAGGGAGTCCAGGCGCAGTGGCTCATGCTTATAATTCTAGCACTTTGAGAGGCTGAGATGGGCAGATCACTTGAGGTCAGGAGTTCGAGACCAGTCTGGCCAACGTGGCAAAACCCTATCTGTACTAAAAATAGAAAAAATTAGCCAGGCGTGGTGGTGGGCACCTATAGTCCCAGCTACACAGGAGGCTGAGGCAGGAGAATCACTTGAACCCAGAAGATGGAGTTCGCAGGGAGGTGAGATTGCGCCACAGCACTCCAACTTGTGCCATAGAGCCAGAGTCAGTCTCAAATAAATAATAAATAAATAAATAGGCCGGGTGCAGTGGCTCATGCCTGTAATCCCAGCACTTTGGGAGGCCAAGGTGTGAGGATCACGAGAGATCAGGAGTTCGAGATGAGCCTGGCCAACATGGTGAAACCCTGTCTCTACTAAAAATAAAAAAATTAGTTGGGCGTGGTGGTGGGCATCTGTAGTCCCAGCTACACAGGAGGCTGAGGCAGGAGAATCGCTTGAACCCAGGAAGCAGAGGTTGTAATGAGCCGAGATTGTGCCACTGCACTCCAGCCTGAGAGACAGAGCAGGACTCTGCCAAAAAAAAGAAAGAAAGAAAGAGAGAGAGAGAGAGGGAGGGAGGGAGGAGGGAGGGAGGGAGGGAAGGAAGGAAGGAAAAAAGAGAAAGAGAGAAGGAAGGAAGGAAGGAAAGAGAAAGAAAGAAATAAAAAGAAAGAAAGAAAGAGAAAGAAAGAAAGAAGAAAGAAAGAAAAGAAAGAAAGAAAGGAAAGAAAGAAAGAGAAAGAAAGAAAGAAAAGAAAGAAAGAAAGAAAGAAAGAAAGAAAGAAAGAAAGAAAGAAAGAAAGGAAGGAAGAGAAAGAAAGAAAGAAAGAAAGAAAGAAAGAAAGGGAAAGAAAGGGGGGCAAAGGGTGCCAAGCAAGAAGAACCTCAGAGGTGGGGCCAGGCTACCGGGCTGGCCAGGGCGGTGCCTCTCCATCCATCTCAACCACCCTTCCCTTCAGACCACCTCTGGGTACATGTCCAGAGCCCAGAGGGATATCTCTGAAAGCCTGGACCCAGGGCTAAGCCCCCATGGGCACAGGATGCTCATGGGGAGGGGGAGCTGAAGCCCCTATTCTCAAATCTCCTAGGGGATTACGTCATGACCGAGTGGAGCGCTGCTTCTCTCTCCAAGCCTCTTGCACCATCCTCCTTCTCCCTAGAAGTGCTCCCGGGACCACAGAGGGTGTGAGTATTCCCTCCCTTTGCCCCCAGGTCTCCTCCAAACCCAGTGTACCCTGCAGAGTCATCTGGCGCCCCTCCAGCTCCTCCCTGGCCTCCCTGTCTCTTGCCTGGGCTATCCCTCTGGCCTCCTAAGGGGTCTCTGGCCTCCTGATGTATCAGTTCATCCTCCCTAATACCACCAGCAGGATCTTTCTAGAACATGCCCCTAAGAACCATCAGGAGCTCAGTGTGCTGTATGAAGACCTTCAGTGTCAGCACCAGCCCACCATTCCAACGTTATCTTCCATCACCCCCTTTCTACCCACTAGGTCCCGGCCACACCAAACTACTCACCGTTTTTATCTAACTCCCAGCATTAGAGTTAAGGGGTATGTGCTCCTGTGTGCTCAGACGCACAAAAGACTGACTGACTTCACCTTGAAGCTGCCTTCTAGATCCAGGTTCTGCTAACACTAGCTTCTCCCTGTGCCTTGCACACAATGGCTAGATGTACAGAAGCCAGAGAGCAACAGGCCGATTCAAATCCTGCTTCCACGACTAACTAGCGTTCCTTGGGCAAATTGCTTAAACTCTCTGGCCCTCAGTATGTCTACGTATAAAATGGACACAACAAGAATTCCTGCCTCGTAGGGTTATTGTGAGAATGGAATGAGGCAGTGCATGTAAGAAACTAGGCCTGGCCGGGCGCATTGGCTCATGGCTGTAATCCCAGCACTTTGGGAGGCCAAGGCGGGCGGATCACCTGAGATCAGGAGTTCCAGACCAGCCTGGCCAATGTAGTGAAACTCCGTCTCTACAAAAAATACAAATATTAGCTGGTCATGGTGGCGGGCACCCGTAATTCCAGCTACTTGAGAGGCTGAGGCAGGAGAATCACTTGAACCTGGGAGGTGGAGGTTGCAGTGAGCCGAGATGGTGCCATTGCCCTTCAGCTTGGGTGACAAGAGTGAAACTCCATCTCAAAAAACAAAAAAGAAAGAAAGAAAGAAAGAAACTGAGCCCGGGGGGTGGGTGTGGTGGCCTATGCCTGTAATCCCGGCACCTTTTGGGGCAGAAGCCGAAGGATTGCTTGAGGCCAGGAGTTCAAGACTAGCCTGGGCAATATAGTGAGACCCCACCTCTAAATAAAGAAAAACAGACAAAAAACACAGAACCCAGTGCCTGGCACATGGAGACGCTCACAGGCTGTCTGTATTCTGTTAGGTGCCTCCAACGGCGAACTCTGTTTCTCCTGCTTCTACTCTGAACTAAGGCTTAGGTGCTTCACGGAGAATTGAAGTTTGGCAACATTTAACTAATTAATTAAATTATTGCTTAAAGACGGAGTCTCCCTCTGTCACCCAGACTGCAGTGCAGTGGCAAGATGTGGGCTCACTGCAACCCCTGCCTCACGGGTTCAAGTGATTCTCCCATCTCAGCACCACACCCCTGGTTCCCCAACCAGCATCTGGGATTACAGGCACCCGCCACCACGCCCAGCTAATTTTTGTATTTTTAGTAGAGATGGCGTTTCACCATGTTGACCTGGCTGGTCTTGAACTGCTGACCTCCGGTGATCCGCTTGCCTAGGCCTCCCAAAGTGCTGGGATTACAGGCATGAACCACCGTGCCTTCATGAGGTTGGGTAATAGAAGTGACCACAGATTTCATCTAGCTCAGCTTGCATTTTGCAAGTCAGATAACTGAGACTCTGAGATTAGAAAGGACTCTCTCAAGATCACATGGTGAGTGGGTCTGGCGGAAGGGCCTGGAATCCTGGGCTTTTGTACGTGCTTTGCCTCAAATCACAGAGCAGCTTACGTGCCTTTATTAACTTACTTTTATTTTCCTCTGGAAATAATATCAAGTCAAATGGTGTCCTTATAATTTGCAGGTACTAGGAGAGGGCCCTTTGGAAAAGGGTTGCATTAGCTGCCTCCCTGAGGGTTCATGACACAGAAAGTTCTAGAAAAGTGATGCCCCCTGGTTAGGGGAATCAAAACAGGATCAGCTGGCATGGCTGGGTGGCAAGCAGACCCCGGGTTGCTTCCCGAGTGGGCTGCTGCTAACTGTGGCAAATCAAGTCTTTCTCTGTCGGCTGGAGAAGCAGCTACTCTGGTGTGCAGGTACCCAAGGCCTTAGCAGGTGTGGCTGGAATGCCACTGGGTAGGGAAAATGAGGTCTAGGACAAGCAGGAGGCTCTCTTGGGTCTAACTGAGCTGATCCATTCACCTGGGAAGAAGAAGAAAGGAGGAGCCGTGGAGATAAACCAATAGGGCCAAGCCCTTTGTCCTGGCCCCTGGGGACAATCCTGGGGCTGGAAAGTCAAGATCTGCAGAGTTATCCTTCGGTCCCAGGCAAGGGTACAGGCACTCCTGTTGAAAAAACAAGCAAGCAAACCAAACATCGTCCCTGTGAACTGAACCTCCAGAGGTCCCAGGTACTTGGAGGAACTGGAATATGGTGATTCACAGGTTGCCATTCTTAAAGTCAAAATACAGCCCTTAGCAACCAGTCCCGCCTAGCGGCTCCCTACTGAATACATTGCTCTCCCCCAGGGCAGAGCCCTTGGAAATACTCTCCAAGGAGAATGTAGAAAACCTGTCTGCCCCTGTCTCCACTGGCCACACCCGAGGTGCTGTCCCAGAATGAAAGCGCAGCTCTGAGAGCGTGGTCGCCTGGACTGGCCAGGGCTGTGCTCCTACGGTGCTCCCTGGTCAGGGGTCCCAGCCATTTCAATAGGTGGTAGGAGCTCTTCCAGCCAGCCCTGCCCCATCACCTTCCCCGTTAAGCTGTTTCCAGCCCTTTTTCACAATCCTTCGACCTCCCTAGGAGACAGAGTCATTGGGCCCTTCTTTCATGGATACAGAGCAACCTCCTCCCCCAACCCCACACGCAGGGCCTCAAAGTCCTCTCTGAGACCACAGCCTTCCCTAGGCTGTGGTTAAAGCCACTTAAAGCCAACTCACATACCTGCCCCTTCCCTCCATTTAGATGGGTCCCCTCCTCCATCCTACCTGGCTCCCGTGGCACTGCCTGCGCACCCCTCCCTCTGAAGAGCAGTGTGGTAAGGCAGGGGCTGCGGTGCCAGGGCATTTTGGCATGCCTATCCCGCCCTACCCCGCCCTGCCTGCTAAATATATATCTTGGAGGAGTCCAGGAAGGAGCCACCACAGATGTGATTAACTCTTTCACCTCCAGCACCGTGGAGAGAGGGCAGGCTGGAAGGAGCAGTGGGAAGTGGGGGTACCCAAGTCCAGACTAGAGGAGCCCCCCGGCCCAGGATCAGCTGGGGGATGGGAGAACTCGGCCCCTCACACCAGGTTGGGAGGAAGGGGTCCTGGGATTCTGGGAGGGGGCTGGTCTGTGGGAAAGAGACCCCGAGTGCCCTTACTGTCCCCACCCACCCAGCCCACCTCCACTGTTCAGAAGGAGGAAACTGAGTCAGGAAAGCTCAAATCTCATGGCAATCGTCTGGCAAAGTCAGGCCCTGACCCACTTTCTCCAGAAAGAACTGAAAGAAGACCTCAACGCTCTTTTCAAGAGAAGGAGAGGGAGGCCAGGCAGGGAGTGCACCTTCCCCCAGGTGGGCCTCTTCCCAGGCCCCTGAAGTGAGGTGTGCAGGCCTCAGATGGAGGAGGTGGGTGACTCAAGGCAGGGCTCTGGGTTGCCCCTCACCTTCCCCTCTTTCCCGAGTGGCAGCACCCAGCATGGCCCCTCACTGAGAGCTGCCTGTGCGCCCCCTGAAAGGCACCCCAGGGGTTCACTAGGCCCTGCTATCTAGGTTGGGGGGTGGCGGACTGGAGAGGGTTGGGGTGGGGGGAAGCAGGGAGGGGAAAAGACTCTCCCACTTTTGCCTGGTGACAGAGGGAGGGTGTCAGCTCTAGGCCATCTCCAGGAACAGACCCCCAGGGTTCCCTGTCCGCCACTGCTCATGACCCACCCCGGGCTTTGGCCATTGCCCTCTCCTCACCTTCCTGACCCTTTCCCTACCCTGTTGGGTGGGACTCCTGCCAAGGCCCAAACACTCTTGGAGGGCAGGATGCCTAAAGCTGCCGTGCACAGGAACCACTGACCTGGGTGGATCCAGGTGGAACTACTGGGTGGGGCCAGCCAGACCCCAGAAACTCTGACTGAAGCCCTGGGGCTCTGTAGCCTGGCAGGCCAAGCTCCCCAGAGTGGGGAGGGCAGGTGAGCAGAACCCAAGGCCAGCAGGAGGGGCTGGCGGGACCCTGCCGAGGAGAGTGGAGAGAGGAGGAGGATGAATGATGAGAGAGGCCCTTCACGCCACTGTGCACAGGAAACCACCAAAGTCATCTGAGAAAATTGCAGGGCCCTGTAGCCCCGGAGCTGGCCAACCCCAGCTTGGCAGACGTGGCTTTAGGGTGGAGGAGACTGACAGAGGGTACAAAGCCTTCCCACCCAACCAGTTAGTGCTGGCTGACGGCCCGGGGCAGGCTGTTTCTTTGCAATAACTGGGATCTTCCTTTGAACCTGGCTTCAAGGCCTGCCCTCCCACTCCCTGGCCTGATTGTCCAGCCAGTCCTGCAGCGCCCCCTGCTGTCTGAGTTGACAGGGACATGCAAAAAGGGAAGGTGGGCAGAAAACCAGCCAGGGCGCTCAGGCCACCCCCACCGACAAGAAGGCCAGGGAGGAAAGATTTCCAAGACACCCCCATGCCAAGGGCTGTCCCTTGGTCCCTGCCAGCCAGCACCTCTGTCATCTGGCCAACCAAAGGGCTCAATGTTTTCCTCTTTTTTTGAGACCGTCTGGCTCTGTCGTTCAGGCCGGAGTGCAGTGGTGTGATCTCAGCTCGCTGCAGCCTCAGACTCCTGGGCTCAAGTGATCCTCCGACCTCAGCCTCCCGAGCAGCTGGGATTACAGGTGCCCACCACCATGCCCGGCTAATTTTTGTTTTCTTTTTTGTATTTTTGGTGGAGACAGGGTTTCACCACGTTGCCCAGGCTGGTCTCCAACACCTGGTCTCAAGTCATTCTCCTGCCTTGCCTCCAAAGTGCTAGGGTTATAGGCCTGAACCACTGTGCCCAGCTGGCTAAATGCTTAATTTGGAAAATATGGTCTTGCTCTCTGGGCCAGGGTGCTGAACGGATTCTGCATGATCCCTCTGGAAGCTTGTCTCCCTGTCCCCATCATGTCACCCACCCCACCACTGGTAAGCCATCTCCTAGGCCCGGGCATGGCGAGAGGAAGGGAGCCCTGTCGCCTGGTCAGAATCAAGGGACACTCATGTCTGTGGACTTGAGCTCCTATGAAAGATCCCAGAGCAGAAGCGACAGATGTGGTTCCCTTTTATCCAGCCAGCATGCCTCCTCTTTCAGACTGAAAGAAAGAGGGGAAGGGGTAGAGGAGCAGAGCACTCATGGGGGAGGACTAAAGTGAGCATGGGAGTCCGAGAGATGGGCGGAGGCTGCGTGCGCAGTGGGGCCTGAGACCATGCTCTGGAAGCAACCTGGGTGCATTGATATCCATTCCAGAGACAAAAAGAAACATGCTGCTAAGGCCAGGCATGGTGGCTCACGCCTGTAATCCCAGCACTTCGGGAGGTCGAGGTGGGCAGGTCACCTGAGGTCGGGAGTTCAATACCAGCCTGGCCAACATGGTGAAATCCCATCTCTA